GTCTGTATGCCTTATTTTGATTTAAACACACACACACACACACAAATACTTATTTGTTCAGTGCAGTTATTTAGCATACTCTTAACTAGAACATCATTTGATAGTGTGAAGTACTTGGAGCTCAAAGTTTGATGTATTTACAGTTTGGATAAGCTGAGGTTCTAGTATAACCAGAAGCCTTTTTCTTCTAAGAATTATGAGAGAATGAGATGGATGTCTGTAGTTTCAGGGTAGTTTTTGTAAGGATGTGATGTGCCGTAGTATCTTAATTCCGAAAATCTAGAAAATAAAGTGCTGATAGCTGTTTTAAGCCCATGGCAATTAAATATTTTTTTTTCATTTCTTGATTTTTTTCTGTATTGAAATGTTTGATATGTGAAGAATTGTGGGCCAGATGTCAAAGTTTTTTAAATGGCCAAATAAGTTAATAAAACTTTAGAACTATATCACTTAGCTGGAGTATTCTGGCAAAACCATAACCTCACTGGTAGCATTTGGTTAATGGAATAGTTATTTGGGAGATCAGTGTAACAGGCTTTATTTTTAAGTGAGATCTCATGAGGAGAAGATATTAATTAGCTTTTTAAAAAATAGTGTAATAAGAATAGAAACTAAGACTTTTCTTCATTCAAGAACAAAATTCACCTAAAATGCTTATAATATTTATCACCTGAAATTATTTGCAATTTTCCTTTTGATGTCTATTTATATTTATTAACTCTAGTATTGTTTTTCCACTTTATAGCCTTATTCGTTTTAAACTTTCCCTCAAAGAAATAATGAGGGAATAATCCTGCACCTAGGATTAACTCCAATATTTTCATTAAATCATAGGATTGTATATCTTTGAAAATTATTTCTTTGTCTAGTATACATTTAGCTCTTCTTTTCCTGCACCTAGGATTAACTCCAATATTTTCATTAAATCATAGGATTGTATATCTTTGAAAATCAGAAGTGATCGTATTTTATTCTCTTCTGAGGTTGAGTAAACTGATTCTCAGAAATGCTCCACCAGTTTGTCCACAGTAACAGCTAAACAGAATTAGGATTAGAAATCTAGTTCTCTGCCTCTCATTATGCTATAACACCTCAAACTTTGTGGCTTTATTTCCATTAGAATCTGCTATCACTTGGATAATACGTGAATGACATTTAAATCGCCCTGAAATGTTTTCTAATAGTTTGACTAACCTTTAGCTCACAAGGAATGATTTTATTATAGTTGACAATGTTATCTACTAAGTTTTATATTTTTCAATTTGAATAGCTGAGAACAACACATTTGAGGCTAATCTGAGCTTCAGAAGTTAGCCTTTAGCAGAGTAATTTTTCTTAAGAATTGTTTTTCTAAGAAATTTAACTAAAAAATAAAACTGTTTGAAAATTTAAGTGAATCGAAAGAAAAATTTGTGGGAGATAAATATCTTGTGAATATATACTTTTATAATTTTATGCTGAGCAGATCATAATAAAATGATCTTTTCCCCAGTGCTATGTTTAGCATTGAAATTGCCACAGACATTGAAGAAATATGAAGTTTGAAGTAGAGATTAGATTTTTACATTAATTTATAATGTATAAACTTACATTCATTAACAATGAAACACAAGTAATAAAGAAACAAACCAGTACCATATTGATCCTGTACTATTTCAAGTTAATCTGATTTATATTTTTTCTCAATTGTAAACAATTATCTTTAGTAATGGGGAAGAAATTAAATTATCCCTTCAGAAAATCTAGAAAGCAAAGTCTGGAAACCTATTATCATTCTAGAACTCTTGATCCAAATACAGTATAGTTTGTAATGTAATTTTAATGTTCATCTGGTAATCAAAGCATTTATTAAATTTTTTCAGAACTAATTTAAACATGTGCATAGTTTAGCAGCCTGAAATCTCACAGATTTAGAGCTTAATGCAAAACAAGAATTGAAAAGATTATGAAGGTTCAGCATGATCTTGAGCCAATGCTGATCAAAGAAAATGTGTAAGACAAAAAGGCCCTTAGGAAATGTTACCCTGTGAAGTGCCACTTGTCCTTAACTGGAATTTAACACACCCTCTAAAGATGAAACTCCATCTGAAGCAGCACAATAATGGCAGCTGGGTATGCCAGCCACAGCAGCCTAGCCTGTGTATGTGTTCTTTCTGCCTCTCCCAGGTGCTGTCAAATCAATCAATTACTCTCATCCCTGTCTCTTTCTCTCTCTCTCTTCCCCCCTATGTTCTCATCCCATCTCCCATCTCTCTTTACCTTCTCTCTTTTTCTTCTTCCTCCGTTTTCCTTTCTCCTTCTTCTTCTTTCCTCCTCCCTCTCTCTTTCCTCCTCCCCCTCTCCTCCTCTCCATCGTTCTTAATCCTCCCTCCTTCTCTGAGAGAATTCTTTGTCCATCTGATTCATGATGACTTTAAATTCATCTGCATCATTTTATACACAGCCGTACTTTACCATTCAGGTTTCCTAGAATACTAATATTTTAAAGAATCATTTTTACTTTTGCTTTGTGTATGTTTTGGATTTGTTCCTTCCATGAAGGATTGTGATTTAAAATTTTAATTAAATATAACCATTAATAAAGATAATGGAATTTTTTTTTAATCTCTGTTAGTAAAATCAACACTCATTTGGTGCTTTTGCTATCTTATCACTTGTGTTTCTTCCATGTAATGGTAAAATCTACCAGTGGTTACGGCATTGATAAGCATGGAATTATTGTTTGAAAAACCAATATATTTTCGCTTAAGTTGTTGTTTAGTGATCTGTTTAACACAGATTCTTTTGGCTTAATCTCAGAATACGCTGTGAATTTAGCCTTTGCTAACCATTAGCCTAATATGCTTTACATGGTATCCTCTCAGCCACGTTCTGTCTGCATTAACCAGTTTATTCTATGATAAGGTGCTTAACAGATGTCATTCTGGGGAGAACAATGAAGCCAAATACTTGTGCAAGGGCTAACATTACTCTAACTTTGATCACTTTTGTTCAGCACATCATTCTGGCATTGTGCTTTATACCAACATAACATTATAGCCAGAACATGCTTTTCAGGCTTAGAGTGGCAAAGGAATGTTATTCAGTTCAGTGCAGTTACAGATGAGTTACCGAAAAAAGAAAATACTGTTTATTTCATAATACCGTATTGTTGTGCTTGGGAATTAAGGTAGAATTTAAAGAATCCCACTCCAAAGTCATTTGTTTATATACTCATAGTATTTGTGTATACTCTCATTGCAATGCTGGGGTAGTCTTGCCAACTTTCCAACAGATGTAAATATTTGTCATTTTTTTTTTTTTCAAAAATAGTTGATGAAGTTTGGTGTATCAAAACAATGTAATCCAAAAATAACGTTAAGAAAGGGATTTTTTTGCCTTGAAACCTAAAGACTCCTTATACTCCCTTTTCTGTCCTTTCCCTCTCCTTTATTAATATAATGCTTCAGGTTTGTAGAACACCTTTCTCCTTAACAGTGCTAATGTTTAAGTATAGTGAAAGTGGTCAGAAGTTGGCCCAGTTGCATTTGGTTAAATTGTTGGGTTGATAATGACTGATGAAAATTTTCACACTAGATGTAACTGACTAAACAAAATATTGCCTGGTAGACGGGCCATTGCCAAGAACCTCTGGAGAAAAGCTGTTTGTTTGAATGGAGTGGGGATCAAACCATGTCGCAGACTCTCCTCAGATCTCATTTACTAAGTCCTTTTTTACACAGGTGTACATTAGAGATAAAAATAGATTGAGTTGCATGTTTTGTTTTATTTTTTCCTTTCCCTAGTGAACATATATCCCTATTTCACTAGAAGGGTAACTTAGATGTGTTTATGTATATAAAGAGTAATGTGATAACAAAATGCTGTAATTGGACAACATGATATTTTAGGCTTCTGCATTTTTAAAACATGAATGAATGCTGCTTGTTGAAATATAAAAAACAGTATTGAAATCTTATCATAGAACATATTATGTGCAACATTTCAACACTAGCTTCATTTGTTACAGTAGAGTAATAATGCCATAACTAAGCTGAAGAATTAGTTAAGATGGATGGTGTCTCCATTGTTACAATTTTTAAGTTAATTTTATTTGTAAAGAAAGAATAAAATAGAATTACTGTAAGTTACTTAGAAAAAAAATTGAAGACATGATACTCTTTAATTACTGGGTAATGTACAGTTTAACCATCCAACAGCTTATTCTGGTAAGTTACTTGGCTCTTCTTTTAAAGTGAAAGGTATAATATTACATGTTGGGAAAAATAGTTTTTCATCATTAACAGCATTTGTTGTATTTTCTTTTCAGGAAGGGGCTAAATAGTATATTAATGGATGGCTCAGATGTTAGTAAATATTTTGTTAAAATAGTTTTTAATTTGGGTGATTTCAAAGAAATAGCCTATGCTGCTTTAGTAATAAGTTTTTATATAAAATATAAAGACAACTTCAGGTCCCTAAAAATCACTACCTTTCTCTTTCCCACATAGAAATTTCAAATATATATATTTTTGTTTGAATCATTGCACATTTAAAGAATTAACTAAATTATAAAAATTTATAATTGTAGTCTATCCTAAGTGAACTGTGTATGTGAATGACTAAAAGGAAACTTGAAGTCAGCCAGGAGTTGGAAAACAACCAAGGACGAGGGATGTTTCTTGAACTACTATTTCATCTAGGCTTCACTGAAAATCTGCTTTTAAATTTGGATATTTTTTGTTTTGTTTTGGTGGCCTGCCTGTAGTACAGGGATCGAACCTTGGATCTTGGTGTTATCAGCAGGATGCTCTAACTAATTGAGCTTCCCAGCCAGCCCAGTTTTTTTTCCTCCCCCCCCCAACAAAATGTTTTGATGTGTTTTGCTAGTTTCAAATTCTTATTTTCAATCTATAAGAAAACAGGAAATACAGTGTAGATATATCACATAAGTTGACTGGAAACCATCATAAGTTATGTGGAAACCTGATTTGAATTGTGCTCTCTCTTGCTTTTTATAGGTAAAGAGAAATGTGTACGATCTTACAAGTATCCCCGTTCGCCATCAATTATGGGAGGGCTGGCCAGCTTCTGCCACAGATGACTCAGTAAGTAACAGTCAAGTTCTCAGTTCTATATCCTCCTCTCTCTCTTTTGCCACTTTCAGTCTAATTGGCTTTGATAATAAATAGAATCAAATGCTTTGAATGTTCCAGTGAGAGAATTTTATAAATCAAATAATGAGAAAATAAGAGGAGTTGTAATAATTTGAGTTCATTTGCAGAGCAGATATAATCTAAGCACATCAACATTCTGTTGGTAATGTTACAGTATCAGTGTCAGGAACTTCATGCTACTTGATTTGACTTAAATTTTTCCTTGAGGAGAAGAATACATTTAGATAATATTAATAAAATGTTCAAAGCAAAAAAAAAAAAATCCTAAATTACAGATATTCCAAAATCAACCTAATCATCATATTTAATTTTAAAACTAAATTCCCCATAGTAGACTGTTGCTTTTAAAAATAATGAATTTTTGCAGTTAATACCACTTTAGTCTTAAAAAGCTTCACTACCATAAAAACTGGAAGAGACTTAGTCTGTCATTTTTACCTACTATTATATTTATTTATAATGATTTTCCTATTGTAAATTTGAAACCTTTCCTATCTCGGCCTTGTTTCTGGCCATTACTGCAAATAAGTTTTGGGCACTTTTCCCCATAAACCTACTTGTTCTAACCAGGGATGCCCATTTTTTTTAAAAAAAGTACAAATGAGAATGTTTCAGGAATTCTGAAGTTTAATCTAATATTTAAAATAAATATGGCTAAAAAGAAATTGGGACTTTGTAAACATCTTGTAATAATAAATACTTAAAAGTAATTGTGGCTAAGAATTGAATTACCTTTTTATATTTTCTAGTAAATATTTTGTTTCTGAGTGGATAATAACTACTCCTCCTCACCCAGCAGCACCATCATACATTTTAATATAAATGAATTCTTTGTGGAAGAAAGAAAAAGTTTAAGACAATTTGTTTATGTAGATGCTACTTGAGTCTCATTACTCCACAATATAAACCTTGTACCTATGGAAAATGCTTTGTGGATTAGGAAACTTTAAAAATAGTCAGAAAATAGCAAAACTTTTTTTTTTTAATAAACTCTTCCAGAAAAAAATGTTGTTTAGGTATAGGCACTTAAATTTATTTCTGAACAACTGATTTTAACATTGATATTATAGCATATCATTAGAAGTTTTGGCTGGTTGTCCATTGCTAAAGATAGGGATGTGGTTGTTAGGTTGGTTGTTGGTTGGTTGGTTGGTTGGTCGGTTTTGTTTTTTTCCTGAGAAATTTAATGGGGGTGAGAAATTTAATAGAAAATGTGCTACATTTATTTTTAATAAAGTAAAAAGTAATGTTCATAAATGATATCCTGCTGTTTACCCAAGGAGACACGAAGAAACCAGAAATATTCTTAGCATTGTCTAAGAATCTGTTAGTAGAAATAATAACATTAATAGAAGAAAATAATTAAGATCTGAGCATGTCACTTAAATTCTCTGAGCTTCAGTTACCTCACTACTTTACAGCATTATTATAGAGATTAGTGATAATATATATACATACCTGACTCATAGTAGACATTCAGTAAGTGAGCATCAATATTGTAATTAATTTTAAGATAACTCCAAAAAGAATCACAGGCAAGAATTGGCTGGTTTAAGTAAATGAAATGGTGTCTGGGAAGGATAGTGGGAGTGAGTGAAGGTAGAGGTAATTCAGATTAGCCGTCTATTGATCGTGTTGAATCTGGGTGATGTGTGTATTGGGTTTATTATATGGCTCTCTCAACTTCTGTATATATTTGAAAATTATCATAATAAAAAGTTTAAAGCAAAAATAATTGTCTCATTTAAGAGCAAGGACATAAAGTAATAGAGAAAAGTCTAGAAATTTGGGGCTTCACCAGGTTGGAAAAGTCAACTATTCTTGGATCCCACACTTGTAGACACCAGACTGGTAGGCTTATCAGGTACAGGTTCCTAGAGTGATAAGCAAATATAGCAAAATATGGTCAGTTCTTGTATCTGTAACATAATGCTTTATACATTTTAGGTGCCAATTCATCGAATTGAGTTGACACAGTCTTTTGTGAGACCCACATTTTAATGATTTTTGTAGTGTTTAATATTTTACCAAAGAGTTGTAATACAGTTTCATTACTATAGGAAAATATGGAAAGCCACTAAAACTGACCATATCCAAGACTGTAATGTTACCTGGTGCTGTATCTAAGTCACAGCAAACACAAGAGGGAATCCCCATTAAGAGGCTTGATTCTTTTTGCCTCATTATTCATATTTGCACCTTGTCCCAGAACCTGTGAAGTGGTGCCTGCCCACACCTCCCCAGAGTAAATGTTGCCACATTGACAGGATATTGCCTTGAGCTGCATGATTTGATACAACAAAGATTTTTAGGGCCAGCCAGCTTTTAACTGGTGCCACAGCAGATACACTAGCTCCAATGCTTGAGTTTAGGCAAAAAAGGCTCACAACTGTAGACTTCTAAAGAGATCCAAGCCAAATATATGTCACAAAACTTTTCTTTCATTAAGATGATAAAAACATATAAAGATGGTGCTTATAATCTATATTGTTGCAGGCAGTGGTGTTTTTATACTTACTGAAATCACTGAAGTGGAGGCATCTGCCACAAAACAAGACAGTCCTCACAGCTTAGGGCATGAATTGGGTACAGCTGAGAAATGTCAGCTGTGTAAACAGCCTGAAATGTGTTACCAACAAAAATATAATTAATTTCTTTCCAAGACAGTGTGCCATAACGTAATACTTAGAATGGTTAAGCTTTCAGAGAAAGCACCTGAACGTTTGCTTCCAGTGCCAGAGTAGAGGATAGATTATAAAGGTCATTAAAAATGAGGTTAGTTTGCACTTTTCCTGCCCAGTTGCAGAAATTCGTGTGGCTTTGAATATACAGTAGCTTTAGATACCAGTGGCATCCATGAATTTACAGAATTATCATAGATCAAGAAGTTAATGGATTTAGAGTGATGGAAATGTTCTAAAATTAGATTGTGGTAAAGGTTGCATATCACTAAATTTATTAAAAATCATTGAATTGAATATTTAAAATGAGTGAATATTATTGCGTGTAAATTATACCTCAATGAAGCATTTTTTTAAAAAAAAGTTAATGAAGAACTAGATTAAAATACTTCTTCATTTATGTTTTTATTCTTTATGAGAAATACTTTGCAATAACACAGGAGATGTTTTCTTCAGTATATTTCTCATTAACCTTTGACTTAACAAACAGGACAAAGAAATAGACTTCTTATAATTAGATTCTTGTGTAGTCTTTTGAGTCTCTTATGAACCTGATAGAATTCTGTCTTTTGACATTTTCAAGCTACTCAGAGAAGTCAACAGCATTTAAAACATTGTTGCCCGTCTCCCATCAGAATTAAAATATTATCTTTGCATTTTGTTGTACTCTATGAGGTATGGGATACTCTATGAATTGTCAGTAACGCTTACAGTTCCTTTTACACTCTTGTCAGAAAAATAGGTATCGAAAACTTCACCAGTAGGGAAATGTTTTCATGCTGTGACAGTTCAGCTGGGAGAACGAGGAATTGCAAGTAGGCGAAATCTCATTTTACACTTTAACAAGGACACTCTTGGTTTCCAAAGAGTAGAAATAATTTTTACACTATGAATTATGTTTAGACACCTTATTATAATGCAGACAATCTGAATATATGTAGTTTTTTAAAATTCTAGGATTTAATAATGCTTATACAAAGGAGGAAAAGTCCTTCAGGCTTTTCGTTTTATGCCCCTTTTATTTTCTTTTGAATACTAATGGTCTTCTATGGTTCTATCACTGACTATGGAATGTTAACTAAGAATCTGAGAAATCAGGAATTTTAGAATCAGAGGTCTTTGGGTATGTGTTAGAAGTCAGAAGGCTACTTATTAAATATTTTCATATTGACAATGTGAGATCACTTATAAGCAAAACCATTGCCTTTCTATAAAATAAAAATAAAACAAAAACCATACACGCACCCTTTTTTTAAACAGAAAAGAATCTGTGAATGAGGGAATATCATCTGCTTCGATCCTTTTAATGAGGACTATTTTCTTCTGTGACTTCTCCCTGATTGCTTGTGTTTAGCAGTTGTCAAGTTATGCACGTTCTCCTGGCACTGGACCCATACCCTCACTTTATAGGAGCTGCTGTCCAAAACCGGACTCTCACAATTACCATATACCACACTGTACTTACCAACTAGGTAAATTCATAAGCCTCCATTATGGTCATTCTTTCTTTTGCTACAAGGTTAATATTTTTGAAGTACAGCATAATCACATTCAGCCTTGCTTACTTATCTTTAATGGCAGCCCCCTACCTGCTGATTTATGTATAAATTTTTATGCTGGCTTTCACCCTTCATTTTTCAGTCTGAAATTTCCCTTCCAGGTTTATTTTCCCATACAGGCCTAGAATAAATGCTCAATAAATATTTGCTGAATGAATGATTGAATATTATACCATATGTGTCTCAGTACTAAAAAAAATCCAATTCCATAATTACAGTTAGAGATTTTACATTCCTGTCTCAGCAATTTCCAGAAAAATGACAGGCAAGGATAGAGAAGATTTGAACAACATTATTAACCAACTTAACATAATTGAAATTTATAGACACTTGACCCAACAATAGGAGAATACACTTTCTTTAGAAGTATGCATGGTACATTCATCAAAATAGACTGTGACCTGGACTATAAATAAAGTCTCAATAAATTTTAGAGTATTTAAGTGAGTATTATCACTGACCAAAACAAAACTAAATTATGTGTCAATAACATAATGTTATCTGAAAATCCCCAAATATTTGAAATAAACAACATACTTAAAAAGGAAAAAAAAAATCCATGAGTTAGAGAAGAAATCACACATAAGATTGAAAGTATTTTAAACTGCCTGAAAATGAAAACACACTATATCAAAATTTGTGGGGTGCAACCAAAACAGTGCTAGAGGAGAATTTATAGCTTTAAATGCAT